CCCCCCACTTCTACATCCTACCTTCCCCAATCAAACTCTTTTGCCATCCTAAACCCAGACACTCCCATCTCCACTACAGATACTCCAATCACCACTACAACCTTAACACCTTCCCCCCTCCCTCCTCGCACTACCCGAACCAGACAGAACAAACGTTCCACCCCCTCTTCCCCAACCACACAATCACCTCCACCAGAAACACCAGTCCTCTCCTCCCCCCCTCATAAGAAATCCTTTATCCCCCAAAACTCCCCAACCAACTCCACAGAAGAAACTATTGAAAACATTCAAGAATACATAATGAAAACTGACACTCAACCTACAACTTCTGATCCCTCCACACACCAAGTGACTGCCGATATCCATCCTCCACCTAACGATATCCCCCCTACACCCTATCCTCCTACCCCCTCCCAACACAGCCCATCCCCCCTGACTCCAACCCCACCCACATTAACCCTCCCACCATCCCCTCTATCCCTTCCACTCCCTCCTGGATACACACGTGAATCCCTTATGTCACAAGTATCCCCTTCCTCAGACCCTCCATCTCCTAATACCCATCCTGATAGTATGTCACAAATATCCCCTTCCTCAGACCCTCCATCTCCTAATACCCATCCTGATAGAACACCAACTCCCACACCTCTCCCATCTCAAACCTCTCAGTCCTTATCCCACCCTCTAGCTACTACCCCTTCAAATTCTCCAACACGTACTACAATCTATATCACTAAATCAACGAAAGTATAACTATCCTTCATTGGAATATTCGCGGTTTCCGCTCCCACAGACCTGACCTTCGTCATATCCTTTCCTCTTATAACCCATCTATTGTATGTCTCTAAGAAACCTTTCTCACACATCCTCCAATACCAATCCCCAATTACCATTTTGTCTCTTCCCCACATTCCCTTTATGTCTCGTCCATACTCATCAATCAGAAAACACCTTATGTCACACCTACCTTTCAAACCAATGTCCCTTGTACAGTTATTCGTATCTTCCTTCATCGTTGGATCACAGTGATTTCAGTCTACTTCTCCCCTTCCCACCCCATTGACTTTGTTGCTTTTGAAAATCTAATTTCCCAACTTCAACCACCTTTCCTCATAGTTGGTGACTTTAACTGCCGCCACACTCTTTGGGGTGATTCTATCACCAACTCCCGAGGCCGATCTCTAGAGCGCTTTCTCTCCACAGCTGACCTTACAATTCTAAATTCAGATCGCCCCACACACTTTGATACACGCACACAATCTTTTTCATGCATTGACCTCTCCCTATGCTCCCCTTCCCTTCACTTAGATTTCCACTGGTCAGTATTAGACCACTTTCCCTATAGTGACCACTTTCCAGTTCTCCTTTCTCCTACTTCATACGTACCACTTCCTAACTCCCCACGTTGGTGCTTTGATAGAGCCGACTGGCATACTTTCACTTCACTCTCTGCTATTCATAACCCTCCTTCCTCCCTCACCTCCATTTCAGAAATGATACAGTGTTTCACAACTACAGTCTTAAGAGCTGCACATACAGCTATCCCTCGAACCTCAAGACCATATACCTCTAAATGTGTTCCATGGTGGAATTCTGATTGCACTAAAGCACTTCGCTTAAAACGTGCAGCCTGGAACAGTTATCGCTACAAAAGAGGTACTCCAAATCAACTATCAGCCCTTATCTCCTTTAAAAGAGCATCTGCCTGTCTTCGGCGTACAATTCGGAATAGTAAAACAAATAGCTGGCGAAATTATGTTTCATCAATTACATCCTCTACATCTATCTCAAATGTTTGGCGCCGAATCCATAAACTATCAGGCAAACATCCCCCCCATCCTACCCCCGTCCTCCATATTCAAAATACCCTCATTTCTGAACCTCTCCAAGTCGCTAATGAACTGGGTGATTATTTCAGCCAGGTCAGTAGTGGTTCTCACCTCTCTCCACACTTCTCTTCTATCAAAACCACCAGAGAAAGTACCCCCATTACCTTCACCCCATCCTCCGCTGAGTCCTATAATGCTCCATTTTCTTCCTCTGAACTCATTGCTGCCCTACAATCGTGCCGCAACACTCATGAAGGCCCTGATGGTATTCACTACCGTATGCTTCGGCAACTCCCATCTTCCTCCTTATCCTTCCTATTAAAAATTTACAACCACATATGGACATCAGGAAATTTTCCTTCTAATTGGCGAGAAGCTCTTATCCTTCCCTTCCTGAAACCCAATAAATCGGGTACCCTCCCTCAAGACTATCGCCCCATCGCACTAACTAGCTGCTTATGCAAACTATTAGAGCGAATGGTGAACTTCCGCTTAATGTGGTATCTTGAATATCACAATCTCCTCTCTCCTTCCCAATTCGGTTTTCGCCGTGCCAGAAGCACAGCTGACCCCCTTGCTCATTTTGAGACATATATTACATCTGCATTTGCACGCCATGAATCTGTACTAGCTATATTCTTTGATCTAGAAAAGGCATATGATACGACATGGCGGTACCATATTCTCCAACAATTGACGTCTCTAGGCATACATGGAAACATGGGTGTCTTCATAAAGTCTTTCCTCTCCCAACGCACTTTTCAGGTCAAAATTGCTACTGCCACATCATCTTTCTTTCCTCAAATCGAAGGGGTCCCACAAGGCAGTGTACTCAGTACCACTTTATTCCTTCTTGCTGTTAATGATATTGTCTCAGTTTTACCACCAGGAGCCCGATCATCACTATATGTTGATGATTTAACCATCTATGCCTCTGGCACATCCATACCAAATCTCTACCAATTTCTTCAATCTGCAATCTCATCAGTATCTTCCTGGGCCACAAACCATGGCTTCCGCTTTTCTACCTCTAAATCTTTCTCCATCCTTTTCTCTCGCTCACGTATAGGTCCCCTACCCCCACTCTTATTATATGGCACTCCACTCCAAAGCCGTTCCTCTGGCAAATTCCTAGGCGTCATTTTTGACTCCAAACTGACCTGGCGAGACCATATTCTACACATTAAAGAGAAAGCTCTCCGCCGCCTTCGAATTTTAAAAACTCTATCCCATATATCATGGGGCTCAGATCGCAAAACTCTTCTTCATCTTCATGTTACTTTGATCCTCTCCACTCTTGATTATGGATGCCATATCTACTCCTCTGCCTCAACTTCTCTCCTTGCCCATCTCGACACAATCCACCACTGTGGTCTTCGCTTAGCACTAGGCGCCTTCCGCTCCTCTCCAGTTGAGAGCCTATATACTGAATCAGGCATACCATCTCTATCTCGACGTCGTGCCCTTCTCTCTCTCCGATGTTATGTCCGATTCCACCAACTTTCCCTCGCTAAACTAACTATCCCACAATCCCTACTTCCTACTTTAGCTTCATCTCCACGATTACCTACTCCTTTCTCCACTCGCATGGATACCCTCCTCTCCCATTCCCCTTTCCCCCAACTCCAACCTCTCCTGTTCTCTGTACATTCCGTCCCTCCATGGCTTATACCTCAACCCCATATTTGCTCTTCTGTTTTCCCCGACCCACCAAAATCAAATATTCCTCCTACTGTCCTTCTCATCCATTTCCTTGACCATGTCTCCACTCATTCCTCTAGTATACACGTATATACTGATGGCTCTAAATCCACCTCTGGTGCTGGTTTTGCAGTAATATTCCCAACTCGTACTTTCAAATACTCCCTTCCTCCTGAATCCAGTGTCCTTACTACAGAACTGTATGCACTCCTTTTTGCCCTAAAACACATATACTCACTCTCCTCTTCCTCTTTTACAATTTTTACTGACTCCCGTAGCTCATTAACTCTCATAAAGTCAATACACACCACTAACCCCCTTGTTTGTAAGATCCAGAACTGGTTGTTCTACCTGTCCACACGCCATAAAATAATCAAATTTTGCTGGGTGCCCAGCCATGTTGGAATCCCCGGCAATGAACAGGCAGATACACTAGCACGCCACGCTGCTATGTCCACATCATACCAACCACGCTTCTCACGTATACCAGCCACGGATTATTACCCACACTTTAAGACCTTCTTGTATAACCGATGGCAATCCTTTTGGTCAAGACTCCACACCAATAAATTACATTCTGTAAAACTATCAATCTCCTCCTGGTCAGCTCCATTTCATCGGAACAGACGTTGGGAGACCGCCCTCGCCCGTTTACGCATTGGACACACCCGTCTAACACACTCCTATCTGATGTCACAATCTGATCCACCCCTATGTTCCTTATGTAATGTTCCCCTTTCTATCCCACACATCCTATTATCGTGCCCACGTTTTGAAACAGCCCGTACCTCTGCTTTCCCCCACCTATCCTCCCTTCACCGACCTCCCAACCTATCAGACATCCTTACAGAATCCCACACTTTCTGCATCAATAACCTATTCTCTTTCCTCAAACACATACATATCCTTTACCTAATCTAACATCTAACCTTAACCCTTTCACTTACCAATTCCTTTGCCCAGCTTAGACAATTAACCACTAACTCAACCACCCTTCACTAACATTAACTATAGTGCTACATGACCTTAGATGTCTAGCACATTTATCTTGCTTTTAACCATTAACCATTAACCATTCAATTTGCGCATGCCAGAATTTGCGATAATATAAGGCTACAGTGAAGCTATACACATTATCTGCAATGGACAAACTTGAAATTAGTTTCAACTTGCGCATATGGGATATAGATGTTGTCTGTCGTATGAGTAGCAGTTGTGAAAATGAAGGTATGAGCGTCCAAAGGTTTGGCGTAATGATCCAGAATCGCCGTTTTGGAAAGTATTTAAATATATGGAATTACAGGTTTTAGGTTTCATGAGCCTTATGCATAGTCATCACACAAGGATTACCACAAATCTTCAGGTTTACTTGAAAAAAAGAGGCAACGCTGTTTAATTCTACAGTATATTAGTAAACGATGGGAAGCGTATTCACACACACACATATATATAGTTATATTTCGGTTGTTATATCCTTTTCCTTCAGATTTTTTTACGAGGATATAGTAGAATCTGTTCGGCAATATAAGCTTTCATTCATTACTTTACTATTTTTTTTTCTTAACATTTTCTCAAACATTTTCCTTTTATCTTCTAAACTTGTTCTTTATCCATTAAGTAACTGCTCTTACTATTGGTATTTGTGTACCTCAAGAAGGTCTATCATAATCTACTTGATTTTTGCTTTTGTTTATGGTCTATTTTCTTCTGGAGTTTTAGAGTTTGTTTCATCCGTTTCATATACGTTATTTTCCGCATCTGGAGTTAGAATCCCGAAATGAACGAATGCAAAAGATAACGTTTTTACTCTAAAAAAGTTTATTGCGAAGTAAATACGGGTTGCATTAAGAACCATCTTGATAATGACTAATCGTACTCTGAAGTCTGGTCCAGGTGTAGTTACCCGGGACACTGAATACATAGAGCAGCAGGATACAACTGCGGTTAAAGTGGAGTTTGGAAAAGGTTTGGTCACACTGCAGAAGCTACAGCTGTGGTAATATTGTTGATTGGAACAACTGTAGTTCTATTAGAGGTTGGGACAGCTGTAGATGTGTTGGAGACAGGAACAAATGTAGTCACGTTGGAGACAGGGACAGCTGAAGTCACATTAGATATTGGGGCAGCAGTGGTGGTGCTGGAGACGGGAGCAGCTGTTGTTCTCTGGACACAGTTAGCGTTAGCAGGAGAGTCACACACCTGCAGCTTGGCGTTGAAGTGCAGCATAGGAGGACAATGCTGCAACAGGGCCGTCCCGTACCAGCTGCACATGTAGAAGGAGCCGCAGTCGACGGGGTTGGGCAGCAGCAGAGGGATCGGCCCCGGCGTGTAGGGGCACTGAGCGGCCACCTGAGGAGGGGCCGTGACGGCGGCTGGGAGGCCGTGACTCACTCCTGCGACGACCAATAGCGACAGAGACGCGACCAAGCTGACGGAGATAAAGAAATGGATAATTTGCCTGACTGATCATTAAACAGTACAATTTTGTTCTTAATGACTCACTGTGTATTTGTTTGTAATACGTCTTGTATATAAATGTTTCTGGAAAAAAAAACTGCAAATAGATGCGACAAAAGCACCTGTGAAACTTCATGTCGTAGAATTTCCTAAGATATAGATGTTGATAGACGATTGAGACGTTTGGTGTCCTATGAGACCCGCTTTTCGAGTGACTTGTCAGGACGAGAGTTTCGCCTTATAAGTTGAAAGAATGACGTCAGAACACAGGCATCGAGGAACTCAGAATAATCCCTTTAATCCGTTTTCTAATCGTGTATCGTCGCCAAAGGAAATTAAGAAAAAGCCAAGGCATTCCTCTATCGAACCAGGTTCTCCCCAGAAGCAGCTGATAAGCACAGCGTGGAGATAAGGATTCCTGAGAGCAAATTGTAAACAAAACAACGGAGGGAAGAGAAAGAAATATAACTGCGTGTATATAGGAGGGATAGATATACTTATATATGTATATGGATGCGTATATATATGCACGCGCGTGTGTGATAACGGTTATCCAGTGACCATGTATTTCAAAGTCATCAGAAAACAAACAACAAATGTCCACTCCTGAAATAGAAAAGAAAACGACCAAATAGCCCAGAGGAAGAGATTAGGAAAATAAATAATATATGAAATAGAATTTAATACTAATTTAATCTGTAAAATACGACCATAATCAGGGTGATGGTAATAACAGGTATTTCATTAACAACACAAATACACAATAAATATAATCAATCAACTTGGTTATATGTATATATACATGTGTGTGTGTGTGCATGTGCATATATACTATGTGTATATACATACATACTGCTTGAAACATAACCAATAACACATCTGAGGTAGTAGATAGATGTGTACAGGTGTGGAGAGACAGCTGCACGTATGCATCAGCTAGACAAAGAATTTCAAACAAAGCTCAGCACCTTCAATGGAACAAAGGACATTCACTCCATTATAAAGATATTAATGTACAGTCGATTGCATCTTATGATTCCATCTATGGAGGTATTTATGCAGTTCCCAACAGGATCCTGAGAGATGAAGAACCGATCGTTAAAACAAGTGAACAGGTATTCTTAACTAAAAATATTTGATTATTCGTCTAATCGCCTCATTGCTTGCTAATTATGTTTTGTTTTTGATGTGTTCCATAAATCCTTGTCATACGTTGCAAACAAAGTTTGGTCAGGTTTTTATGTAATTCCCCTTTCCTCTACATGCTGTTCGCTTTTTCCTACGCAACAACGTACTATAATTTCTAAATAAAATGAAAGTCACTGTAGAAAATAAAAAGAATCACGTTTGGAGTCCGAACTGGCTGCCTCATCGGGCGATGCAAGAATGCAGTGGACAGATGTATTTCCATATCACTATTATTATTATTCTCTTATTATTATTGTCACTATTTGTTAACCTTATTCTGGATGAGTTTCTATTTACTGTGCTTGTAATTTTGTTCTGATTTCCAGGTTCATCAAAATACGGCTCTTCATAAGACCTTTTACAATCTGGTTATTTTCTCTGATCTGAAATATAGGCAATCGTTAATCCCTTCATTGTTTTCCGTCAGCTTTTCAACAGTGACTAAACTTTCCATTCAGTGGTCACATATACTTTATCTGTTACAGCAACTGTTCTTTCTATGGTTATTTGTGTATCTCAAGAAAGATCTGTTACAAACTTAATATTCTTGTTTAAGTTTTATATTCTTGTGAAAAGATTAATTTTATTTTCTTGATATAATTTATTTTCCACAGTTAAGTAAGTCGTGGGAGTGCGTGTAAAAGATAAAGCTTGTATTCAAAGTTTATTGCGAAATAAATGCTGGATAATTAGGAACCATCTTGATAATGATTGTAATCGTACTCTGCAATCTGGTACCGGCGTGGTTACCCTGGACACTGGATACATAGAGCATGGACCAGCTGGATACAACTGCGGTTACAGAGGAAGTTAGAAAAGGTTTGGTCACGCTGCAGAAGTAACAGCTGTGGTAATATTGTTGATTGGAGAAGCTGTAGTTATATTGGAAGTTGGAACAGCTGTAGTCACGTTAGAGACAGGAACAGCTGAAGTCATATTAGATATTGGGGAAGCAGTGGTGGCGCTGGAGACGGGGGCAGCTGTGGTTCTCTGGACACAGTTGGCGTTTGCAGGAGAGTCACACACCTGCAGCTTGGCGTTGAAGTGCAACATAGGAGGACAGTGCTGCAACAGGGTCGTCCCGTACCAGCTGCATATGTAGAAGGAGCCGCAGTCGACGGGGTTGAGCAGCAGCAGAGGGATCGGCCCCGGCGTGTAGGGGCACTGAGCGGCCACCTAAGGAGGGGCCGTGACGGCGGCTGGAAGGCCGTGACTCACTCCTGCGACGACCAATAGCGACAGAGACGCGACCAAGCTGGCGGAGACGAAGAAAAGTTCTGTCATTCTGCCTTAGAGATATGATGCCATAAAGTAATGTGTGATGCATATGGCATATTAATTTCTAAAGCGATAGCATTGCATTTATAAATCAAAACCGCTTACACACCTGATGAACTGCATATCTGAAATTTTCTCACAGATAACAAAAGTAGACGACTGAGAGCCTGACGTTAGGAGAACCTTGTTGTGCTGCTAAAAGTTTCTCTCGAACGCGTTGGTCGGACGAGCGTCTTACCTTTTAAGAATGAGTGACGTCAAAATACAAACGTTAAGGAACATGGAGTAATTCCCTATAGTACGTTTCGATGACGTCTCAGTGAGATAAGATTCCTTAATCCTTTTAGCGGACCTGCCTCTGGAAAAGCTGATAAGCCCCGATGGAGAGATAGGGAGAGGATGGAATTCGATGTGGATTGCATTAGATTTTAGAGTTAAAGACAGTTTTTTTTGAGTTAACGACATTTGTGTTGTAGATATTGGTTCAGTGTTGCGAGGTCTGTTAATGACGTTGATGGGTTGAGTGCAAATACTGACAAAATGAAAAAAAAATAGTAATGAAAATGATAACTATGGTAAGTTCAGTAATAACGCTAATGCCAAAATAAGATAAGCAATGTGTATCGAAACAAACAAGCACAAACAAACACACAAGATTCATAAGAAATTATATTTATGACTTGATAATAGGGCTTATTTGTGGGGTTATATGGGCAAGTCAGAATGCTCATCACCCACAAAGTAATCCTGAAGTCATTTCATCCTAAGTATTATGTACATTTCATCACTCATGGAGTTAATTGTTCTATCTACAGAAAGTATATCTGCTATAGCGATCTTAGTGATTATTGCCAACTCTAATAGTTTATGTCTTTAATCGTTAATGCTTTACTTACAAGTCACGGTTAGAATTTAAACTAAGTCTACCTCACGTTCCCTGATCGTCCCACGCGTTGCTGACAAAATGTGGCCGGGCTTTACATAGTCTCTGCCCCTTGATACGCTGTCTCATTTATACTACGCTGCTGAACAAATTTTTTCCCTAAAAAAGCAAGAAAATGTTTGCAAATGGTCAAGTTTCATACTGCGTTTATGTTTCATCGTTAGTTATATCTCTGCTGTACTATCCATTTCATTCAGATTTCATACGAGGATATTGCAGCCTCTGTTCAGTAATATAAACTTTCATCAATCACTATTTTTTCATATTTTTCCCCAAAGAAAAATCCTTTAATCCTTCATCCTCCAATTTTAATTATCTGTTAAGTGGTGGGCATTCTTTTTCTTTATTTTTTTGTTGCCTTTAGAATTCACGGTTAAAATTATGATACTGCATAATACAGTGATCGTATACACATAAATGAATATACATATATAAGCCATCCGGCTATCTATCTGTCTGTCTATGGAACTGTCTACTGTCGGTCTATACGTATCACAGATGATTTTGTTGTCTGCTCTTCCCTTCTTTTTGTTTACAATTTGCTCTCATGATTCCTTATCTCCACACTGTGCTTATCAGCTGCTTCCGGGGAGAACCTGTTCGATGGGGAGATGCCTTGTTTTTTTCTTGATTGACTTTGACGGCGATACAAGATTAGGAAATGGATTAAAGGGATTATTCTGAGTTCGTCGATGACTATGTTTTGACGTCATTCTTCCAACATATAAGGCGAAACTCTCGTCCAGACAAATCACTCGAAAAGAGGATATCACAGAACAACAAACGTCTCATTCGTCTATTAATTTTTGGAAAATCTTCGTCATGAAGTTTCACAGGTGTGTAATTGGCTTTATTGTGCCACAGTTTATTCCAGAAACTCAAATACACCATGAATCATTAAGGCCAACAATATGCAGCTAAGTGTCCAGTGAGGCAAATTAACCAATTCTTCATTTCCGTTAGCTTGGTCGCGTCTCTGTCGCTGTTGGTCGTCGCAGGAGTGAGTCACGGCCTCCCAGCCACCGTCACGGTCCCTCCTCAGGTGGCCGCTCAGTGCCCCTACACGCCGGGGCCGATCCCTCTGCTGCTGCCCAACCCCGTCGACTGCGGCTCCTTCTACATGTGCAGCTGGTACGGGACGGCCCTGTTGCAGAACTGTCCTCCTATGCTGCACTTCAACGCTAAACTGCAGGTGTGTGACTCTCCTGCAAACGCCAACTGTGTCCTGAGAACCACAGCTGCCCCCAGTCTCCAGCACCACTACTGGTGCTCCAGTCTCCAATGTGACATCAGCTGTTCCTGTCTTCAACAAAACTACAGCTGCCCCAATTACCAATATAACTACAGCGGTTCCAATTCACAATGCGACCACAGCTGTTATTTCTCCAGCGTGACCACATCTTTTCCAAACTCCACTGTAACCTCAGCTGCATTCAGCTGGTCCATGCTCCATGTATACAGTGTTCAGGGTAACACGACCGGACCAGACTTCAGAGTACGATTACAGGTCACTATCAAGATGGTTCCTAATGTGCCATGCATTTACTTTGCAATAAACCCTTTGAAGACAAGCTTTGCCTTTTCTATGCATTCCTTTCGTGATTCTTATGCTCAGCATACATAACTGCGGAAAATACATTATATGGAATGGAAGAAGTAAATCTTAACATTTTACTATATAGACCTTAACACGAGCAAAAATGAATTAATGTGATAGACCTTGAGGCACACAAATAACGATAACAAGTTCAGTACTTAAACAGATCAACGAAAGAAAATGAAATCGAATTTAATAAAAATGCATCTGTCAAAG